CATTTCTGGATGCCCAGTGTCAGCGTTGGATCATTTAGGGAATGCCCTGGAACGAGTTGTACATGCTGCAAAGGCTTCCAGACCTGCCAGCAATGGTATGGTAATTCCGTGACTGTTTAGATGGTCCATACTGACATTATCATCATGATCAGTGTATTCCGAGCATGTGCGGACAGTACCAGGGGCGTCATTGGTGTATATGCAGTGAGAGAGCATCTGAGAGGATGTTGGATTCACCAGGTACATATACTATCTCGAAATCGAACGCACTCATCTTTTCTAACCAACACTGCTTGCCTTCCTGTTAGGTCTTTCTGCTTCATAAGGTGAATCAACCCCTTATGATCTGTTATCCAAGTGAAATGAACTTCCTGTAGGATATCCTGATGGTGCAACATCGTCTCAAGACCTGCTAACATCTCCAGTTCATGAACTGCATAGTTCTGTTGTGCTGAACTAAGCTTCACTGAGTAGAAGGCTGCAACTTTGGCCTTCTGCCACTCATCTCCTTGTGCAATGTAGCCTGCGATGCTGGTGGAGCTCGCGTCGGTGACCATCCAGACAGGTTTGTGCTCAGGTGAGTAGTCTAATGGCACTCGGCTGTGGTTACAATGATGCTCAATGATTTCCTTGATCTCATCAAAGGCTCACTGTTCAGTGTAGGACCAATGGAATGGGACCGTTGAGCCTGTGAGGCCATGGAGGATTCCCATAGGGCCATGGATGTGAGGTAAGTCATCTGTGAGATATCCTACACTTCTGAGGAATCCTGACAATAATCCTTTTGATGTAGGAGTCTTCCAGTTGATTACAGAGTCCACCTTGTCAGGATCCATATGTATACCATTATCATCAATAATACGACCTGAGTACTTTCATTTCCTTTGGCAAGAAATTCAGTTTCGAAGCACTCAAGTATAGTTGCTCTCACTTCAAGACATCAATAATGCATTTAACATGCTTAATGTGGTCCTCGATTGTGTCGGAATAGATAATAACATCATCTAGGTATACCTCCATGAAGACACCTATGTAGGGCGAGAAGATATGGTTCATCAGCGCTTGGTATGTTGTGGGTGCATTACAATCACCCTGCTGGAGAACGAGACTGACCATATTTCCATCAGGTGTTGTAACCGTAGTTCTATCAACATGCTTGGGAACAACTCAGATTTGCTCGTAGGCATCCTTGCCATCAATAATGCTTTGATATTTGCACTTCGCAACACAACTGCAGGATCCCTTCAATGCTCGGGAGAGGTGCTGACACCTTGCGAGTGTTGGCATTGCATGCGCACAAGTCGATGAACAGTCCAGAGTAAGTGTTTTTGCTTTCCTACTTTCAGAATCAGCAACATTGGTACTGAATTCCCTGAGGTAGTAAGTTTCCACCTACCTGAGGATAAGTAATCCCTTCATTTTTGATCCCATTGTGAACGGAAGGCCTTGGGACACCAAGACAGCCTCCAGGGATATACCTTGTGCTTGTCAATCAAGGGTATCTCATGGTTAATTGCATGTAAGGGTGGCAATGGCGTTTCCGAAGCTGTTTTGCAGATGGGGGCCACATACTCTTGAAGCTCTGCATGAACTTGCTCGAGTGCATCCTCACTAACCATCATAGCTTGGGACCAAACCTGGCTAATGTTATCACCCACCATAGGCAAGGCTGTGTCACTTCCAATCTCAATAGACGAAGGATTAAAGCAAACGCGAACATTATACTGATACAGCCAAGGTGTACCAAGGACCAAATCATATCCAGAGAGGTTCGCGATGTCAAAGTAATGCTCTGTTTTGATGCTCTGATACTTGAACTGAACCTTTGTCCCACAGAGAATCTTCAAACGAGATCCCTGGACTGCGAGATGCAAAGGAATAGGTGATGGAAGGTATGTCTTGAATACCTTCAGCTGATCTGCTAACTGAGTAGACATGAAGTCCCCCAATGAGCCGGTATCAACCAAAGCTCGGCAAGGCTTTCCATTGATGTCGACGACAATAACAAGAGGTCGAGGCACCACACGGCCAATGTCTTTCACAACTGACGCGTGGCGCTGGACAGCAGGGTAAGTCTTGGGCTCGATTTGGACTCCCACTATGCTTATAACATGAGTGTAGCCATTCCGTTCTTCCCAATGCAGGTTGCCATTCATCAAATGCAAGTAGTTATCAGCTGCTGCAACCATGGAATCAAGTTCCTTCTCAAACATTGTCATTTCCATGGACTGTGAAAACATGCGGGTAAGAAACTCATATTCAACAGGGCCTTGTAGCCATTGTAACAGAGTTTCGTAGGCATTATTTAGCTTTTTCCGGTACCAATTTGGCAGGTCAAAGTTTGGGTTAGTCAGATACTTGATAGGTACTGACATTTTGAACTCGCGACGGATATCCTCAATGATATATTTCTGTGAGGGCTTTCTGGGGTGAGGATAAATGATATACTGAATATCCTCTTCCAGATTTTCGGAGTCCTTGATAAATGGAACATGTCTAGTCAAGGATTTTTGAACTGCAGTAGCTAGTGGATGGCCCATCTGAGGGTAATCCATGTTCTGGAAGGCTGGTATGTGGTTGAACATAGCCAGTTGCCTTCCCCAGTACTCTCTGGGACTAAACTGAGGGTCCAATACCCATGAGATAGGTAATTCTCCTCCTAGTCCTCGATCATGATCAATGAATTTAATCATGCGATCTTCCTTAGACTCCCACACAGTGAACTGAAGGTGACCATGAGGATCAGAGCTATCTCCGGGGTATGGCTGGCTCTCATGAAGCTTCATCTCAAGAGTGTCAAAAAGTACGTTTCCCATTCTTTGAAGTCGCCATTGCTCTGATCTAACCTTGATAGCCTCAGCGTGCTTCAGCTTCTCAAAGCAAAGCTCATCCAGGAGGAATGACTCAAATTGCATAGCTATGAATGCCTTTAAGTTCTTTGATAGCCAACCAATTGCATCAAAGTATGGATTTTCGAGTCTTGCAGCATCAATCTGAAGCACCGCAAGATTTGAGTGATCTTCAACAGTAAGCTTGTTTGATTGAGCTTCTCGGCTCACACTGAACCAGTCATAGGGTGAGACTTGGTTCTCATTGAAGCCCAATTCCTTCAAATCGGGATAAGAGCTAATGCCATGGCTTAGTACAAAGTGTAAGCCTTGCGTGAGAGCATCTCCAAGTTCTGAAGACTTGCTAAACCACTTCGCGGAGTCAAATGGAGGTGCAAGAAGCCTTGCGCGTTGCTTCGCATACCATGCACCAATCTGGAACTTCGGATTTCGAAGCAAGGCTGCTGAAATCGTGAGTTCACCATGTTCTGATTTAGTATCCACAATGGTAAAGGTATCATTGTTCAGATGAAACACACCAAACCAATGAGAGCTCACTGCTCCCCAACGGAGTTCATCCCCAGGGTATGGGGCATCGTGATTCAGGCTTAACTCGGCTGCGTACTGATAGAAATCACCAATACTGGTCGGATGCCAGCCTGGTTCTGTTTCCTTGCGCAACACAAAGTTCGAATACACTGTTTCCGGATACCTGAAGACCTCCTTAGCGTCATCTGCCCAGTAGTACAATGGTTCGCCATTGCAATCCTGTGAACAGGCATCTTCCTCAGTCCACTGGAGTCCAAAATTCTCAATTCTGGGAACTGGTGAGGCCTCATTGCAATCTATGCTTCTGAAATCACTGATGAACACTTCCAGATCATTTAATTCTGACTCATGTGAATTATCAGGGCTAACGGCTGAAGGTTCAGCCTCATTTCCAGGTTGCGATGCCTCTTCGCTGTCAGTTTCATAGTCTGAACTTTCTGATTCATCTGTTTCCAAGACTGATTCAAGGTCTGGGACATTTTCATTGTCCAAGTTTTCAGGTAGTAACTGACTATCCTCTTCATCAGGCATGAACATCATACCAATTGAGATGTAGTCTGCCGTTTCCGTAGTCTCAGCAAGCTCATGAAGATCTTCTGCAAGTTCATAGTGCATGCCATGCACTGAAATTCCCGGTGGTCCCTTTTTATTACTGGACTTGACTGTATTGCCATGAGGGCAGTTCCGAGCCATATAGCTGACTTCCTCACAGTTGAAACACTTATTAGCAGCTACTAATTCCGCTTTCTTGCCATCTGACATTTTATTTCCAGAACCGGGTGACATAGAAGGCTTGCTACCTCCTCCGTTACACCCTCCATTGGAAGGTTTGTTGCCCAAACCTCCTTTGGATGATGATGAAGTCTGATTATGACCTGTAGAATGTCCCGATGGAGCAGATCCACCATTTCGGGGTCCATTCTTATGGTGAGAATAGCCTTTACCGTGGTTATTATTAGGCTTATTCTTCTTTGATGAGGTTCCATTATTCCCATTACCATTGCCATTGTTACCACCTTGTGATGGCTTCTTCTCCTTGGTGCGAGGTGCAGCTTCAAGATCAGCCATCTCAATTAGTTCAGCTTCTTCAACAATGTGATGCCAACTGTGAACTTCTTTATTCAGTTTCGCACGATGTAGTTCATGTTGCATCTCTTTGCGGAATCCATCCCAAAGTTTGATGACATGTTCTCACTTGCTAGTGACACCAACAAGTCCATACAAGGTTTTAAGCTCGTAAACGTATTTCAAAACAGTACAATCATTTTGATAGCACCTCTTTATTTTATCACGTTGCTGACTACAATAATTCAGGGGGAAACAAGCATTGAACATTCCATGTAAGAAGTCCAATAATGTCCATTCCACGTGATTCTTAGAAACCTTTTGGATGAAAAAGGAGAGGGCTTTACCCTTCAGGTAATGTGACATCAAGAATACTTGTTCGTCTCTGGGGACCTGACCTTCTTTACAGAACTGAGTCATTTCCATTGTGAAGCAGTGGAACTTCTTGCTGTCTGCAGTACCATCATACGGAGTAGGAGGGATTGGCTTAATAATCTGTTTCTGACTAGATCTATGCCTTCTATGGTGGTGGCCATGATGATGATGAGATCCATGCCTTCAGCAGTGGCGGCAATGATGGCGACTATCACAAGATGAGTCTGAAGCTTCTGAAGAGCCTGATTCTGATGGTGAGTCACTACTTGAGTCTGAAGAGCTCGAGTCTGAATCCGAGGGATCACTATCAGATGGAGAAGAGTATGAATAGCTTGAATCTGAATCCGAATCATCACTAGAAGAGGAATCAGAGCTTGAAGGATCTGAATCGGAGAAGCTAGCATGCTGCTTGCTCTTCCATTTCTCATTCTTCTTCCTATTGAGCTTCCGTTTACGTTCCGGTGAGGCTTTCTTCTTAGATTTACCAACTGTTAGAACATTGGCTAAGAAGCTATCAGCTGGAAGCTGATCTGTTGGACAAGTAGAGCCATGCCAGCTCCCATGATGACTGCTTAAGGGTGCTCTGGACTTGCCCTGAACCACCTCTTCCATCCAACGATCAAACGCGCTTGCCAGCGGCTCAAGATTATGAACATTCTTCTTCTTAGAAGTCCTTTTCTTTGATTTTGTAGGCTTTTTCTGATATTTTTTCAGTTCAGTATCCTCAGGATCTTCATCAGAAGTTTCCTCAACCTCGAGAACATCATACCGGCCAGTCTTACCAACCAGTTTCTTAGTTCGCAAAGCCTTGGACTTGCCAGAAGCTTTAGTCCGCTTAGAAGACTTTCTGACCTTTGCGAATCCATCCTCATGGTGCATTTCAGGTTCAGGTTCATCCTGATGACCATCAAGTGATTCCTGGATCTCATCACGGACCTGGTTCCAGTTCTTGAGCGCCTCACGTTGAGCCTCAATGTCCAATTCTGAATCATCAACTTCCTGGTTATGATCGGCAAATTTTCCCTTTGCAATATATGAGCTTGGGCCTGGTGTTGCATTATGGGTTTCAGGTGGGTTGCGAGCCTGCTTCTGAGCAACCTTATCCTGATGTTTTGCCAGGATTTCTCGCTGCTCGGCAGTCAGATTACGTTCTGCAGCCCTAACTGTAGAAGCTTGTTCCTTGGTGAGCTTCTTTGCTTTATGCTGCTCCTTAAAGCGAACTGCATTCCTACTCAGGTCATCCAGACTCTGAGTATGACGAAGCCTTGCAGGCCTTGCTGGTTGAAGGGGAGTAGGTTCCTCAGCATCAGTCTTACTAGATGCTTTCTTGGATTCCATGCTACTACTAGAACTAGATGTATCAGATTCATCATCATATTCTACATTACTACGAGACAAATTCTTCTTTGAAATACCCGCAGCAGTCAGATTCCCTTGGGAACTGACATCCTCATCATCCTCCGAGTCAGAAGGAGATGATTTCTCCTCCTCCGCTTGTACATGAGCAGAAGGAGGGTTCCTCAGCACGGCGTTGCCAGACGCTGGAACACGGCTCGCAGCCAGACCAGGAGCAGAGCCCTGAGCACTCGCAGTGCTGGATTCTGCCGGGATTTTAGTATTACAGATATCTGGGGACAGCTCACCAGATAACTCGGATAAAGGACTCTCCACCCTTGGCAAGGCTGGCCCTGTTGCAACAGTGTTGCGGCAGCTGCGCAAGGCGTAACGAGACATCCTAATAGGTATACAGAAGATACAGTGTCGAAATCGGAGTGGCCTTGGGTGATCAAGCCTCAGTTTTCCAGAGATCGACGAAGAGAGAGAGAGAAAGAGATTTAAAGAAAAAAAGCGCAGATGTAGTTGAGAGAGAGATATAGAAATAAGCAGAGAAACAGCCAATGGAGCTGTCAAAAATATGAGAGGGTGGCGAAAGTCACGTACTCTCACGAAGGAGTTTCATGCAGTGTGTGACAGGTGTAAAGGCTGGTCGTTGCAAAAAACCCGAGCTACTACAGCAGTACATAGCTCTTATATACTACTAGCTAATATCAAATAGATCCTATCGAATGCGTCGAGAATGGTGGAGCGTGTGGAGCGACGAGGGGGAGAAATGAAGGGTAAGGACCGGGCCAAAGGCCGGCTCGTTACAGGACCATAGAAAGCACTCTCATCAGTGGTGCTGTTATCAATGGCGGAAAGAAAGGAGTTCATTAAGAATTTCGGCCAAGGCTGAGCGCTAGCGTTTGCCATTGTGTTCTGCGAAAAAATGAGTATTGATCAAAGGAGCACGACTAAGTACACACCTGCGTGGAAGAAGATTAGGCTAGCAGTTGCTACTGACCGGAGTTTTTGAATTCAATGCCTAATTCCCTTACCGGGCAACTCGTCGTCAGTGTCAGCGCCCTCATGTATAGCATCGAGTTTCGCACCTAGTTGCACCCATGCTCCGAGTCCAGGTAAAGGGTACGCAACTTCACAATCGCCCACTGTCGCCAATACCGAGTTCTGTTGTGGAAGAAAGAGGAAGCCTCTCCGTATGCCTTCGCGAGTAGACAACTGTTCATATGCAGTCCGAGGCGTCGATTTCCTTTCGCCTTCGTGAGTCGGGCCCTGAATGAGCCAATCAGAGGGAAGCACAGCCTCTGGTTGGAGTCGAAATTAAATTTGACATCAAGGTATATAAGTGTCACCCCGGCATTCATTCTGTCTTTGCCTTTAACGCTGACCTTGGTCGCGCTGAACGAGAATTCTTCAACTCCCACTGATTGTCCAAATCGCCGTAGTCATTCCAGAGCTATTTATTATGTCGACATACAACCGCTTGGGTATATTACTCGCGTCTTCAGCTCGTCAACTCGTCTAATATTGAGTTAACAGAATACCCATACGCGACGGGCGTCGTATCCGAGAAATATACACCCTATCGAGTCGCATCCACCGACAGTCATCTTTTGCCTGAAGGTCCATCTCCTTACAAGACATTTTATACCTTCTCCAACTATCTTTTAGGCTACATCGACCAGTACGGCGCTTCTACTTCCACGGGCCACCACCCCGCCAAGCCCATTGCTACGAGTACGTGTCGTGGCTCATTTTTGCTTCGCACCGTCTCATCGCTCTCTTGTGTAGCCCCCTTACACCTTCCCTTTCCTCCCTGCATTAGCACGGCCCAAGCGCCATGCGATGTCAACAGTGTGTCTCTGCTTCACATTTGCAAATCACCTGTCTCATCACAAGATGTAGAGCCCTCTTCTTGGGTCCAGGAATACTCAATGTCCGCTGTTTCGCCATTCTTCTCTCCTAACGAAACGGGAGGGTGGTCTCCCTTCGTCTCACTGTCCTCTGAGATGACTCCAGACCGTGAGTCTAGTAATTTGCACTGGGATCATATCACCTTTCTCATCGAGTTCTTGCAGTGCTCTTCTCCTCGCCTTCAATATCAGACGACTGTCCGAACGTGTTTGATATTCAATTCGGACGTTCCCTGCATCAGCAACAAAAGCAGCGTGAACAACAACAATCTCAAGAACCGCAGCTTCCACCCCGTTTCCCCGAGCAGTTTTCCTCCCCCCAACTCCGAGCTCCACCGACCATCAACAAGTCTAATATTAAGACTTCGCCATCTTCTCAAGACAATGCTTCCACACGCCGCCGCCACCCATGCCTCATCCCCGGATGCCAGAGGCGTTTTACAAGCCAGTATACGCTCAAAGTACATATGCAGGCACACAAACCCAAGCCTCGTGTATCGTTCGTATGCACGCTCGGTTGCGGGGAGCGGTTCTCTAGGCAACACGACCGGCTCAGACACGAAGTGGCGAAGCACAACAAGGTCTGCGAGTTTTCGTGCGAGGCATGTGGGCGGTTTTTCTCCATGGCCAAGACACTGGGCAACCATAAATGTCCTGTTGCGCAAGGTGAAACGAGATGGGTCAATAATTAGCGATGCCTTCTCTTCTTTTGTGTATTTTTACATCTTTTTTATGGTATTTTCGGGTGCGCACAAATGGAGCCAATACTTTCCAGGTCCTACCTGTCTCGTAGTTCGTGTCATCGCTTCACTCCTATGGAGATATTCCGTGATGAGGTGGGTGTCATTAGGTAGTCTATTGTAATACTTTTTACTTGGCTCCCCTCATCCGCTTCTTCTGATCCAAGATAGCCTTTCTCAGACGTATAGCCTTGGGGGTAACCTCTACAAGTTCATCATCAGCCATATACGCAATACTCTCCTCAAGGGACATGATTCTCGGACTCGCAATGACAAGCTTCTCGTCCGCGCCTGCCGCTCGAATGTTGGTAAGCTTCTTCTTCTCGCAAGGGTTCACATATAGATCTGATGCCTTGGAACACTCGCCAATAACCATACCCGGATAGACGTTCGTGGTCGGGTGAATGAACATGATTCCACGAGCTTGCAGAGGCGCAATGGCGTAGGCGGAGGACTCGCCTAGGGACATGGAAATCAGAGAGCCGTTGCGTCCAGTGTCAATAGTGCCCTTGTAAGGCATGTAGCCTTTGAATATGTGGTTCAGAGTGCTGTATACAACAGGTTCAGCGAAACGAAGAACAGAAATGGTGGTAGCCCTCACCCCTCGCCATGGACATCATTTTTAAATTCCCCAGCCATATATCCAAGTAGACCGCGAGCAGGCACCTCCATCTCAATCCTCATGAACCCAGGCTCTGCCGGCTCGTAGTTTTTCATCTCGCCCTTCCGCATTGTGAGCTTCTGGATGACTGTACCCGCCCATTCCTCCTTGACGATTATAACGCAATCCTCGATAGGTTCAAGTTTCTGGCCGGGATTATCAGGATCAGGGATCATAACAGCTTTGGGCGGGCCAATCGTAAACTCGAAGCCTTCACGACGAAGCGTCTCAAAGAGGACGCCAAGATGCAAAACGCCACGACCACGGAGTTCCAACGACTCGGCTGTGGCGCCAGGTAGAACGCGTAGAGCAACATTAGTCTCGGCCTCGCGCAGCAGACGTTCACGAATAACCTGGCTGGTCAACTTGCTGCCCTCCTTTCCAGCGACTGGACTGTCATTAGGGTAGATACGGACGGAGATGGTCGGAGGGTCGATGGGAGTTGTCTTGAGAGGCTTGACGTCGTCTCCTGGGCTAACCAGACTGACGTTGACGCCGCCGATACCTGCCTGAATTTTGATACCAGCAATAGAGACAATCTCGCCTGCAGCTGCAACATCACGCTCTACCCTCTCCAGGCCAGCACGAGAGAAAATCTTTTTGACTTTTCCATCCCCAACTTTGTTGCCTTCTGCATCAAGCGCCCAGAGCGTGTCACCTACGCGCAGCTGACCCGATTGTATGCGTCCTAGGTATAGCATTCCAACATATGAATCGCTTTCTATTTGAACGGTGAGCATAGAGAAGGGATCGTCTGAAGAGAGATGTGTTGGGGGCGGGACCTGGGAGAGAATCAAATCAAAGAGCGGTTCCATGTTGCCATTCGTCGGGGCTGGCGGAGGCTGGTCAAAGGTAGCCCATCCCTCCTTTGCAGAGGCATATACGACAGGGTACTCCATCTGGTCGTCGGTGGCGCCAAGGGTTGCGAAGAGGTCGAAGAGGTCGCTCTCTACCTGAGCGGGGCGACTGGTGGGACGATCAGCCTTATTGAGTACTACCAACGACCTAGACGAGTCAGATAGAGCAACGAGGAGAAGATGAAAAGACAGACTTGAGTCCTCCTGCCAATGCCTTGCCCAATACGAAACGAGTCTGTGTCATTGGACCCTCCGTAGCATCTACGACGAGTGCTACACCGTCAACCATGCTGAGAACACGCTCGACTTCTCCTCCAAAATCTGCGTGACCAGGCGTATCGACGATATTGATGAGATTATCGCGGTATTTGATGCTAGTGCACTTGGATAGAATGGTGATACCGCGTTCCTTTTCGAGATCGTTCGAGTCCATGACGCGCTCCGTGGGAGGCTCATTGGTTCCTACGGTGGAAGAGGGAGAAAGGGTACCGGACTGACGAAGAAGCTGGTCAACGAGCGTAGTTTTGCCATGGTCGACTGAAGAAAGGTCAGATAAAATTGGTGAAGAACTTGGTAGGACGTACCATGGGCTATAATAGCGATATTTCGTATGTTTTCTGTGGCATAGCAGCGACGAAATGGCAGAGAGAGATGCCTTGCGATTACGGGCAATCGCAGAAAGGCATTTCGAAGCATTACTTGGGTGTCACTGTAAAGGCAAAGAAAATATTAGTCAGCAGATCACCTTGGACTGGTACGGCGATGTCGACGAGCTCTCCCCGCCCTGTGAAGCGACGACGAGTCATGTCCAGTGCAGACGGGTTTGCAACACCAGAAATCAAGCCAAAGAGCAAACCAGCGACGCCTCGATTCCAGTCGGCATTCGAAACGACGAAACCTGTGTCCAAGAGAAAGGAAACAGTACCACCACCGCCTCCAATAACTCCAAAGCCACGCTCAAAAGCTAACCCGTTTGCTTTCGTTGTCGGTCCATCACCAAAGCTAAAGGCGCTTCAACCACCGCCTCCCCCAATCCAACCACCACAAACCCCTTCGCTCAAGCCGGCCCAACCTCCCGTGCTACCAGCCTCGAGTTCACCCCCTCGCCGCCTTCATCACCTCAATTCGATTCTCAGCTCTGACCCTGCCGACCTCGCTTCTGTATTTCTGCACAACCTCACAGAGCAAACAGATGGCGACCCAGACCTCACGCAGAGTCCTTCGA